GGGACCATAAAATTCACAAATCTGGAAGAGGCACTCTTGCTTATCATAACTATGTGCTTAGTTAGTTTATTTAATACCCAGAAGCAGAGAAGAAGATTTTCAAAGAATAAATGCATTTTCACTATATAATCAATAGAGCCCCGCCCTCACACCAGAACCCCTGACCCTGGGGTCATAAAATTCACAATTTTTGGAAGAGGCACTCTTGCTTATCATAACTATGTGCTTAGTTAGTTTATTTAATACCCAGAAGCAGAGAAGAAGATTTTCAAAGAATAATTTTAGTTTATTCAATACCCAGGACGGCCAGGAGCAGAGAAGAAGATTTTCAAAAATATAATGCATTAATTTCACTATATAATCTATAGAGCCCCGCCCTAACACCAGAACCCCTGACCCTGGGGCCATGAAATTCACAAATCTGGAAGAGGCACTCTTGCTTATCATAACTATGTGCTTAGTTAGTTTACTTAGTATTTAATACCCAGGAGCAGAGAAGAAGTTTTTGAAAAATATAATGCATTTTCACTATATAATCTATAGAGCCCCACCCTAGCACTAGAACCCCTGACCCTGGGGCCATAAAATTCACAAATCTGGAAGAGGCACTCTTGCTCATCATAACTATGTGCTTAGTTGTTTTATTTAATACTCAGGAGCAGAGAAGAAGATTTTCAAAGATATAGTGCATTTTCACTATATAATCTACAGAGCCCCGCCCTAGCACTAGAACCCCTGACCCTGGGGCCATGAATTTCACAAATCTGGAAGAGGCACTCTTTCTCATCATAACTATGTGCTTAGTTAGTTTATTTAATACCCAGGAGCAGAGAAGAAGATTTTCAAAGAAATAATGCATTTTCACTATATAATCTATAGACCCCCGCCCTAACACCAGAACCCCTGACTCTGGGGCCATAAAATTCACCAATCTGGAAGAGGCACTCTTGCTCATCATAACTATGTGCTTAGTTAGTTTATTTAATACCCAGGAGCAGAGAAAAAGATTCTCAAAGAAATAATGCATTTTCACAATATAATCTATAGAGCCCCGCCCTAGCACTAGAACCCCTGACCCTGGGGCCATGAATATCACAATTTTGGTAGAGGACTCAATGCTTATTACATTCATGCCAACAGTTTGCCTGCTTGATGTCCAGGAGTAAAGAAGAAGATTTTTAAAGATTTCATTAATTTTAGTGGTTTTGGCCCCACCCCTCAAAAAAAAAAAAGGAAATGTTTCCCAAACACGAAAATCCTATTTCGTGGGGGGGGGGGGGGGGGGGGGGGGGATTCGAACTTCAGTACCAAAATTTTTTTCCGAAAACCACCACTCTCCTCATTTTTAACCTACACTGCACTTGTCTGCGGAAAGGGGGGGGGGGGGGGGGGGCTAAACCTACGCAGCAATGTTCAATGTCTATACTAAGTATATATTTGGAAAAAAAGTGGGGGGGGGGCTAAGCCCCCCCCCCCCCCCCCCCCCCCCCCCCGGTTCCGACGCCTATGCAATGTAGGAAACGTGACGAGATACGTTTGTCAACAGCTTGCCTCGTTAAATAGAAAATGTTCGAACGTAGACCATGGTCTTGCATATCGAATCAATTTGGATACATTATAGTTCTCTGAATCTCATAATTATTTTTCAAAAACATACCCCTACCATTCACCGTCACAACTGAAAATGGATTTTGCACATTTTGCATTTAGGCATTTTCCTTTATAAAGGGACTATAGATGAAACATATGGAGATAACAAACAGTATTCAAGAAGCAGAACAAACGCGGAGCTCCACTGGGATCAGGTGCCATGGGGGAGTGAGTATCCCTGCCGACCGGTCAAATCGGCCGTGTGTTCCATGTCATGATCGGGAAATGACGGAAAAATCCGTCAATTCAGTGTATAAATAATGGACTAACGATTAGTATGGAAAATGTCAGTCAGGATTTGACTCAATATAATAAATTGTATTTGCTGACAAGGTCATTGTATCGACCGTAGAACTTAAGAAATGGTGACTTTAAACGAGACTGCTCATATGCATTTTGACAGATTTAGTTAGTATTACTATTCCTATTCCATCGGTAATTTCAAAATAATTCTCGTTATGATTTGGTATAAATGAAAAGATTTTGATTCCTGTCAAAAATTACATTTACAGATTTCATGCAAAATATAGAATTTTACATTTACAGATTTATTGCAAAGAATTTTACAGCGCGAATCAAAAATATTTTTTAGCAACCGTCGAGCATTTTTTTTTTCTCGTGTAGAATGTTAAAAAATAAATCTTCTCACAAAACAAAGAAAATCCATGTCGTGTGTAACCTTGTTAACGCTTGCATTCAATGGTGGCAAGAAAACTAAAGCGATACTTCTTTATGAATCTGTAATGCAAATGATTAAAACGTGCATGTGAATGTAAAAGTTCAATTTACAAGAAAGTTTAACGAGAAACAAAGTACATGTATATCAAAATAATTAGTTTTTCTTACATAAATTGAAATATTTCATTGAGGTTAATATTTAAGTCTAGCAGCCAATAAATGGATTACATGTTCTACGAAAATTGTCCAGCCTTAAATGACGTGCAGAAATAAGATACAGTCGTTATTCAAGAGATTAAATTCTAATTTTAGTTTCATCGATCAAAAATTAACAAGCTTCTTCAGAGAATCTGAATCCCCCGCTCAAGGAGTATCACCCCCTCCCACCCTTAAGGAAATTAAGAAGACAGGCGTGGATTGGGGGCGGGGGTCGAAGACGGCGGATACTTTAAGAAGGGAGGGTCGGGGTATAGGGTGATATTATATAAAATGTCATTGCAAAAGCTCAAAACTTCCTGAGATATCGCCCGGAAATGTATGAATGTATAGCCTTGACCTCTGACGAGTTGACCTCAAAATAAACAGGGTCAACATTAGGAAATTGTGGTATGAAAGTTCACTGCAAAGCTCAAACGTTTCTGAAGATATAGCTCGGAAACGAAAGTGTTGAAAAAGAGAAAATACTAACCTAGCCATAACGTCTGAAAGGTTGATGAATGTTCTTTTAGTTTCACATGTGTATTCATTTTGTGTCAAGAGCCCAGCAATTTAAACCCAATCACCTTGACAATGGAGTAAAAAAAAAGGGGGGTTAAAGGCCCACTGCCACATAAGGAAAACTATTCATTATTTCTTAATTGTGTATATTTTGGAAACAAAAGTAGGGGAGGAGAGGCCGGTCTCTCTCTAAATCCGCCAGTGATTTAGCCAAGAAAATCAGCACATTCCTAGAGGGCTTTGCACTGAGAGGAATATGATTTTTCTTGGCTGAATAAACCATCTTGTTTCCAAAAATTCATGCAATAAATTGTTTATCATACCAAAACAAACAAAATATTTATAAACAAGAGGCCTATGGGCCACATAGCTCACCTGAGCAGATTGGCTAGGGAAAAAAGCAAAAATCGGTTAAGTATTGAAAAGTTTACAGAGTGTGTGTGTGGGTGTTGGGGAGGGGGGAGCTTGAATTTTGAACTATATCAAGACAACAAATGGCTTTGCTATTCTTGAGTAGAAATGTTTTAAGGAATTTTCAATTTTCTTATGTAAAAACTTAAATCATCCAATGTGGCCTCACCCTTCTCCCAGGTCATGATTTGAACAAACTTGAATCTTCACTACCTGAGGATGCTTTCATATAGGTTTCCTCTTTCATGGCATAGTGGTTCTTGAGAAGAAGATATTTTAAAGATGCCATTATTTATTCACTTCTTCCTAATTACCTCCCCTTGAAAGAGAGTGTGGCCCTTAATTTTTACAAACATGAATCTCCTTTACCCAAGAATACTTTGTGGAAAGTTTGGTGGAATTGACCCTGTGGTTCTTGAGAAGTCGAAAATGTGAAAAACTTACAAACAGACAGATGACGCAGGACAAAATACCGGTATAATGAGTAAAGCTCATTTGAGCCTTTGGCTCAGGTGAGCTAATAAACTCAAACCTATAAAAAAAACATACCGTATAATCCCTCTTTACTGCCAAGGCACTTAGAAAATTGTGAAAAGGGGCTGGTTATTTTGGTCATTGTAATATTTAGTGTTATATTTTAACTTCATGAAATCTTTTGAAAAATTTTATCTATGCTAAATAATTCATTTATCCATCGAGAAATCAGAGAATAAACAAGGAGAACAAATTTTGCAGGTAACTTTCATTTTTGGAAATATATAATGATTAGGTCTTTCTAAAAATCTTTCACTTTCAGGGATACTTTATCTACTATACGTTACCCAATAACCAAGTTTCATTTTCAAATTTTTCAAGCCGTTCACGGTAGCTTTGTTGGTAGAGAGTTCACTTTTTGATCAGGAGGTCGTGAGTTTGATCTTGGCCGTGACTGACCTAAGTCGATAAAAATTGGTAGCAACTGTTCCTTCACCATGTACTCGGCACTTGAAGTGAAAGTTGCGGGTCCTTCAGATGAGACCTTAAAATCTGAGATCCCATGTCACAGCAGGCATTCGCACAATAAAGGTCCCTCACTGCTCAATGGCCCCGAGTGCTAAGTAAAGGTCAAAATTTGAAATCCATACCATTGTATTTAGTGAAGTTTCAACATGAGTGAAAAATTCTTGAATGGGACATAAATTATGATTTTTATCACTGTACAGAGGGCCCTTATTTCCTCACAATTGATAAAGACCTAGGGGCCACTTGTAGGGGCAGGGGCGGTTAATGGGGATTATATGGCAGCTTTCACCATCTGACAATGCCAGTCTTTTGTGGATATCATACATTTCTTCAAGAGCTAATTGTTTCCTCTTCACACTACCAGAGTATGATTATACCTTCTCTGTAGTATTACTATACCTAGATTTGTATCTCTCTGACATCTGTTTCTTCTACCATTCACTACCATTCTAACGCCCAAAACCTGTTTTATAAGTTTGTCTGAGTCTCTTTGCACTTTTTATGCTGTGCTTTGTAGCATACAGAAAAGATACACACAAAACTACTTATAAACATAATTTAATGCATTTTAAGAACAAGACATACCACTCCTCAGATCGTTTTGAGGACATTCTTTTCATTAGCCCTTCATGTTCTTTAAAGTATAACACAACATTATAAAACTGTTCATATTAAGAAACATTATTCTTGACAACTAAACTTTATCCGACAACTAGATAGTCTCCTTTAATTTTGTGGGGAGCTACGGTAAGATTGAGGGGGGCGGGTCCCTTCCTGATGCGGCCCGAGGAGTCGTAATGGGAGCCGTGGCAGGGACAGTACATTCCTCCGGGGTGTGCGCCTTGGTCCTGGAGGGGGATACACCCTTAAAAATACAAAGCACGCCAATAAATCAAAGAACATTTCACGCCAATAAATCAAAGGAAAAAGAAACATTTCATGACAATAAATCTAAGGGAAAAAAACATTTCATGCCAATCAATCAAAAAAAACATTTTTTTTTTCATCGTCACAGAAAAAAAAAAACCCAATCTAATTTACCTTCATGTAGACACCTTGATATTTTTTTCTATAACAGTCGCATCAATTTCCATTTTACCAAGGCAATCTACCCAGTAAACAGTGTTTCCAATAACAAGCCAGAATAAATTAGGGTAGATAAGAAAACAATAATTTTATTTTTTTACTTTACTTTTTATTTTATAAGCATCAATTAATCACCCAATACTAAGGGTTTTTTAAATCATATATGCATACACATTTATAATTGAACAAGCACAACAAAACAAACGCTAGGATAGACACATTACTACAGTACAGTGTCCGAGACCAGCATTTTATTGACCACACTAATAGTCTATAAGAAACTAACAGAGTTTTTGAAATCCACCGGTCCCACCGGCAAAACTGGTAAATATTTCCAAAGTCCGGTAATTTTCTTCATGTTATCGGTCCGAGGGACCGGTAAAAAAATTGGATCTTTCTGGAATTTTAACCTCTTAACCTCTAAATTTTAGGTTTTTTTGTGAGATTGTCTGAAGGATTGAATCTGTGTGTATGAAAGAATAAACTCAATGGCTTTTTACGACAGTTAGTCATTTTTTTCTGCCATATCTGTGTATGTTCGATCAATCAGCTGATTCAATTTGTACAGAAATGTTAATTGTAGCTTTATTTGGGGTGCAACATATGTCAACCGAATTGCTAATCATCATTTACCTTGTATATAAAAAGTTTTAAAATAATCATTTTTGTTACATTAAACATTTCCCCCACATTTGAACTAGCATTTCTGCTGGCCGCTAGGGGGAGACAAAGAACGATAACCGTAAGTTCTGAATTGTTGATAGTGCTCTTGAATAGACAAACAAAACATCAGGTAGTGAGTTCTACTTGGAATACTTCCCTGGCGTATGACATTGTCCGAACAAGGTAAATATAATTTTTGTAGGTTCATAGAAAGCTATTCTTACTCAGTTTTCATCTGTTTCAACTTGAAATGTTAACAAAAATCATTCTAAACGCATGTGTTATGTATTTGTCAACTAGAAAAAATATTATTTACAAAGGTATTTCTGCCTAACCTATGCCAACCCATCATTTAAAAAGTGCAAAATATGTTTAGATATTTTTATGCAAAATTACAGTTTGAACAGAGGCAGCACTTTTTTGTGACCATTTTTTTAGTATGTGGAAGTGGTGATGTTTAGTCGTTTTATTACCTCCCTGTTGTTTATAGTTTTGTTCTACGTACGTCATAAATTTTCATGGAAGGCATGTTCTATGTAATTTCATTAAGTAAAATTATGACAACATTTGCTAATGAATGATACTAATATAGTGAATATGTTGAATTTAAATGCATCCCACTTTTTTCAAGTTCTATGTTATGCTACACAAATACAAGGAAACGGGTTATAGATACGAGTTATCCTTCCTAACTCCAAATTTATCTTCCCCTTGGGACACACATCGCTGTCTGAGGTAGGCTCTACCTGTCACTTGATTTTATGAAAACTAGGTGTTTAGGCAAATTTCATTTTGAATATACCATTGTATGAAGATAGAATAAAGAAAAATGACATTTGACCTTATAATGTTGTATTTTTATTTTTAGGAAGAATTGCTATTTGAACTCCGTTTTTGCGGTAGGCAGCCATGTTGGGTATCTACTGTAAATATCACACCTGTTTAATTCAGTCCGGGGATATTTGACCCTTTCGATTTTTTTTAAGTCCTAACTGGATTTAAAACATTTTTTTTTGTTTTGAATTTGGTTTGTTGATGGACCAGTGAATATTTGTGTGGACCGGTGAATTTCACTAAATCACTGGTCCACTTGACCAGTGAAATTTTTTTAATTTCAAAAACTCTGAACTAATAGAGAACAAATGTAAGGTTCAAAGTCTGAAATATTAAATGATAGGGTATGTAGATGAAATAAGGGTGATTTTGGTTACTGGAAACACCCCGAAACATACACATTTTTTCAGCCTCATTACTTTACTATTTTACCTAAGTGTGTACAGACTCCTATCAACACCATCCACTCGGGCTTGAGTGATCGGTCCGAGTCGTGCTGGGGGTCTCGGAGGGACAGGAGGTCCACGGACTGCTCAATCTTTATCTCCTCCTCTGTTCTGTGTCGTACAAATAGCGGCATCCCCTTCCAGGTCGTGAGTATGCTTGTTCCTACGGGGATATCGGTCAGCTTGACTTCCGTCACTGCCATGGCCCTGGCAGCATCGTTAATGTCAAGATAGCCCACCAAGTCCTGTACCAGCTCCTTACCCATGTAAGCCGTGGCAGCCGTCACCCCTGTACAAAAACACATACATCACTCAGCTAAATGTGAAATCTCTTGTTACAAAGTCTACAATCATTTCTTACAATTCAATTTGTCAACCAATTATTTTTTTTAAGGTTGCTTTATTATGTTCATTTAAATTACACACTATTGATAATCATATTGCAAATGCCTAGAACATATCATACCCGCCTTAAATCACGAAGAGAAATGAGTCAATGATTAGCTGTAGTATCTGTAATATCCTACCTCCTACTATGGTATAGGAGAAGACCTTTCTTGTCGTATCATTGGTGTCTCTCGGAACATTGGCCTTCTGGGAAGTCAGAGTCCGGTATTTGGAGAAGTCGGGTTGTGGGAGATCAGTGTGGTAGCCTCTCCTGGCTGCAGACAGTAAAATAACACTTTCATATTGCTGATTAATATGCAATTAAACATATTTTTTTAGGTCACCTGAGTAAACTCAGGTGACCTATTGCTATCTGTTTTCGTCCGTCGTTGTGCGTCGTCCGTCGTGCGTTAACATTTGAACATTTTCAGCTTCTTCTCTGCAACCACTAAACCAATTTCAAATAAATTTGGCACAAAGGATCTATGGGCGAAGGGGAACAAAACTTGTGAATTTCATGATCCCTGCCCCCCTGGGGCCTGAGGGGTGGGGCCAAAACCACTAAAATTAATGCAATCTTTAAAAATCTTCTTCTTTACTCCTGGACATCAAGCAGTCAAACTGTTTGCATGATTGTAATCAGCAATGAGTCCTCTACCAAAATTGTGAAATTCATGGCCCTGGGGTCAGGGGTCCTAGTGCTAGGGCGGGGCTAAATAAGTAGGTTTTGAAAATGCATTATTTCTTTGAAAATCTTCTTCTCTGCTCCTGGGTATTAAATAAACCAACTAAGTACATAGTTATGATGAGCAAGAGTGCCTCTACCAAAATTGTGAATCTTATGGCCCAAGGGTCAGGGGTTCCGGTGTTAGGGCGGGGCTCTATTGATTATCTAGTGAAAATACATGAATTCTTTAAAAATCTTCTTCTCTGCTCCTGGGTATTAAATAAACTAACTAAGTACATAGTTATGATGAGCAAGAGTGCCTCTACCAAAATTGTGAATTTTATGGCCCCAGGGTCAGGAGTTCTTGTTTTAGGGTGGGGCTCTAATGATTATATAGTGAAATTCATGAATTCTTTGAACATCTTATCCTTTGCTCCTGATTAATATACTAATGATCTAATTACATATTTAAGGCCAGGATTTATTTTATTTTCAGTTTTACAAACCCTCCACTCAAGGTTTTGAATTTTCAGAAAAAAATAAAACATTTTTTTTCTTTCCGATGTCAAATTTGAGTCGGGATCGAGATTTCAAATTTACGAACTCGCACTTCCGGTTTTAAGATGAAACGGCGAGTAATAAAGCTAGATCTGAGAAGATAGCTTGGTTTAGTGTAAAATTCATCGATATGAGTGCCATTCAAAACGTTTCACCCGTTCAAAGGACAAATAAAATGCTGACGACTTTGTTGCACAATGACATGCTGGTGAGATAATTATGTATTCGTTTTAAAAGTATCTGTCTGTAAATCATTTTCCTCCCCCAGGTTTGAAACTGCCCGTGGTAGCTATTGCATATTGCCAGCGACATTGTTTAGGTTTCTGTTATAGCTTACAGTCTAAGCATCATTCTTTAGAAAAGGGTTGCTTATGCATCAGATGTAATTAATAAAACTATGGGAGAAGTTAAGTCCATTTGAGGAAGAAATAAACAATAACCTGAAGAAATAAAAAAAAAATTCAACTATTAAAAGGCAAGAATATACAAATATATACAGGCATGTAGTATCATTTGTATCAGCCAGAAAAATTATTTTACACTTAATTGAAAAAATGTTCACCCTACTCCCCAATACTCCCTGTCTGTTTTATGACAGGAATATTAAAATTTTAGGCATCAAGTAAATTTTAGAACAATGTCTACACATTCACCTAACACATATTAAAAAAATGAAGATATATTGAAAGACTTTTAAAGAATTGATTTTTTAAAATATATTTTGACCAACATCACAAAATTTATATAACTGGCCCAAACTGGCAGATGATGAAATAAGCAATTAAATGTTCTTCTTTCCTATTTGTAAGTATTATGTGTCCATTGGTAAGGAGCCTATTAGAATAGCATAAAAAAAGAATGTACAAATGTTAATAATTGATTTATCAAAATTTTTTTTTTTTTATTTCCTTCTCCTTCGGGACTTTTTTATTCTCATGTTCATAACTAAACCTAAACATAAAAGAAATGCTGGCCTTATAATGAAGAAAGGGGCCTGTTTCAAAATAGATAATTTCAGGGCCGCTGGGACAGGGGTACCAGGGTGGTACTTTGACTAAAAATAAATTAATGCTTTGAAATCTGCCCTTTGATAAGCAATGGTGCCTCTTTCAAAATTTGTGAATTTCATGGCTTTTGGATTAAAACACGAACCAAATACAATTGCTGGAAAGTTGTTACATGATACTCAGGTGACCTATAAGGCCCGTGGGCCTCTTGTTTCTTTAAATATGCACTTTTCAAACTTCATTTTGGTAAAGCAACTATCATTTGCAGACCTGTCAAAATTTTGAAATCTGTCAGACATTGGTCTGACAAAGTCAAATGTTGCTCTAAGAAAAACAATTAGTTTATCCCACTGATCATAATTTAGACAACTTGAAATCTACACTACCCCACGATGCTACCCCCCCCCCCCCCCCCCCATTTGGATCTGCCAATGGCATTTGCTATAGTATACTGGTGTCTCATTATATCGCGGTACTTAATTCTTTTGTATTTAACGTGTTATTTCAAATTTTTACTTTTACTTACATCAAATGATAATTATAATTCTAACATTGGCCTAACTTTTTAGTGTCCAATTATTTTCCAAGCTTGCATCATTTAATTTGTGGTCTATTTTTAAAACAGGGAGTCTTACAAGAGGCCCGTGGGCCATATCGCTCACCTGAGAAGCTTTGACCATTCTGTTCTTTATCCGATTTCCCCCTTGTAATACATATTGTGACCCCACTTTATCCCACTGATCATAATTTATACAACTTGAAATCTACACTACCCCACGATGCTACCACATAAGTTTCAGCTTTTCTGGCCCAGTAGTTTGTGAAAAGAAGATTTTTAAAGATTTTTCCTATATATTTCTAGGTAAAACTTTGATTCCCCATTATGGCCCCGCCCAACCCCCGGGGGTCATGATTTTAACAATTTGGAGTCTACACTACCTCAGGATGCTTCCATATAAGTTTCAGCTTTTCTGGCCCAGTAGTTCTTGAGAAGAAGATTTTTAAAGATTTTTCCTATATATTTCTATGTAAATAAATTTTGATTCCCCATTGTGGCCCCGCCCAGCCCCCTGGGGTCATGATTTAAACAATTTAGAATCTACATTACCTCAGGATGCTTCCACATACATTTCAGCTTTTCTGGCCCAGTGGTTCTTGAGAAGAAGATTTTTAAAGATTTTTCCTATATATTTCTATGTAAAACTTTGATTCCCCTTTGTGGCCCCTTCCAACCCAATTTAGAATCTACATTACCTCAGGATGCTTCCACATAAGTTTCTGCTTTTCTGGCCCTGTGGTTCTTGAGAAGATTTTTAAAGATTTTTCCTATACATTTCTATGTAAAACTTTGACTCCCCATTGTGGCCCCGCCCAACCCCCGGGGGTCATGATTTGTAAAATTTAAAATCTACACTACCCCAGGATCCTTTTACATAAGTTTCTGCTTTTCTGGCCCAGTGGTTCTTGAGAATAAGATTTTTAAAGATTTTTCCTATATATTTCTATGTAAAACTTTGATTCCCCTTTGTGGCCTCTTCCAACCCCTGGGGGTCATGATTTGAACAATTTAGAATCTACATTACCTCAGGATGCTTCCACATAAGTTTCAGCTTTTCTGGCCCAGTGGTTCTTGAGAAGAAGATTTTTTAATGACCCCACCCTATTTTTGTCTTTTCTTGATTATCTCCCCTTGTGAGGGGACTGGGCCCTTCATTTCAACAATTTAAATTCCCCTTCACCCAAGGATGTTTTGTACCAAGTTTGGTCAAAATTGGCTCGGTGGTTCTTGAGAAGAAGTCGAAAATGTGAAAAGTTTACAGACAAACGGACAGACGGACGGACGGACGAGCAAAATGTGATCAGAAAAGCTCACTTGAGCCTTCGGCTCAGGTGAGCTAATTAACCTCCTAAATTGGAGTCTCATTGTATCGCGGTATGGGAATACACATCATCATGGAAACTTGTAAATGACACAGACTTCATTTTTATGTAATTCTACATGAAAAGTAAACGATTGCACAAACTGAAGACTTTTAAAAGATGAACTTTATTATAATTTTTTACGAGGTTATAATTTTAATGGTCTAAATATAATTAAAATGGGACTGGAAGTCTGAAAATTTTGTTTTATTTGAATATTTCTTTTTTAAACGGATGTACCGTACTTCTTAAAGCTATATATGCCGTATTAGTGTTTTATTTTAAAAGTAATAAATATATGTGGTATCTCATCAAGTTATATAAGTTATATACTTTCTGCAAATAAGACAATTCCCCTCCATCACTTTTAAAAGTTATGAAATATTATTTGGTAAAAATTATTTTCTCTCCGTGTCGGATAAAAAACCGCCTCTTATTGAAATAATCATGATCACGTTGTCTCGCATGTTTACAGCAAACAATGGTCCAATCTCGTGAATGAACCGAAAGGTGTCTTCCCACTTAGCCAACATTTTGAAAAAATACAGGTAAAACACAGGTAAATCTGTGTTGGCTAAGTGGGAATGGGGTGTAGGTGGAGAACAAAAGAAATTAATTACAGGTAGGCTATAGTCTGTTTTAAGGTGAATAAAATATTTATTAAATTTAGTCTATTTTAATTTGATACATTTATTAAAGAACAGTTACATCAGTTACATCAGATAATCAAAATTAAAAAAAACCTTTCTAATTATTTTATGTATTTTTTTTTTATTACATAATCATGCACATTTCAAAGTTAAGATATCAAGGATTTTAAACAATAACCCATTTATTTTTCGACTTTATATTTTAGAGAACAGAAAATAATTAAGTCAATTAATCTCAAGAAACACTAGGTTTTACAAGTTCAAAATTGGGTGAGAATTTAAATTTGAACATAAATCACATTAATTTTACCATGTATATTTACACTTTTATATTATTACACTTAATCCTTTTTCATATTTTAGCTCTAGTCATGCAGATATGCCATATAAACATGTAGATTTAGGTATAATTCTTATAAAATAAAAAAAATGCTTAATTCATTGATTATATTTAGATTGTTTATAGTTTTTCC